TTGTTTGAATGATAATTCAACCCCACCCCCCACAACCCCACCCCACCCCACCCTGCTACAAAGAACCAGTCTTCTAATAAAGTATTTAAATTCAGGCACTTTGAAAAATGACTAAGTTCAAAATAGGTACATTTTAGGTACACTGGAAAATATATAAGTTCAACATAGGTACATTTCTGGCACACTGAAAAATGACAAAGTTCATAGTAGGTAAGATGGAAAATATCTAAGTCCATAATAGGTACATTTTAGGTACACTGAAAAATGACAAAGTCTAAAGTAGGCACATTTCAGGCACACTGTAAAATGACTAAGTCCAAATTAGGTACATTTTAGGTACACTGAAAAATGACAAAGTCTAAAGTAGGCACATTTCAGGCACACTGTAAAATGACAAAGTCCAAATTAGGTACATTTTAGGTACACTAGAAAAAAATTAAGTTCATTTTTGGCACAGAATAGGTATGCCTTTTCTGTACCTATAATAGTAGGCACACATTAGGTACTGAAAAGGCACAAAAAAAGTATGCCTATATGTACCTTTTTTTTGTATGGGATCTGTCGTATTTGTTGAGAATTGGCAAAACGACTTTTCCAAGCAGGAGACTTCTTTAATTTTCTTGTAATGGTTTCAGACTTGATTAGGTAAATTGCCGTGTGAATAAACTTCAAGGTTGTAAATCGGTAATATTTGATCAACCTCATCATTGTTGATCAGTGGATACTCATAAATGGGCAATACCCCGGCAATCAACTTGATCAGTTCATTGATGTTGGGGCTTATCAATTGATAGGAACTATGGAAAACTAGAGGTGAAATTTGAGGTCAATATTGAATAAAGATTGACCACTAGTTGACCTTAATAAATTGTTCTAACATGATTTGACCAATATTTGGATATATACCTGGGTATCCTTCAAGTATGCCTAAGTCTAATTAAATTCATCATTGTTCATGCTTTAGATCTTGTCAGACTTAAGTCAAAACATTTCAGTGTGTAATGTGTACCTGAGTTGACATTTTTTCAGCCCATTTTAAAATTTTCTTTTTATTACCTATATTAACTTTGTACAGCATGACCTTGTTTACTCCAGATGATTGGTCAGTAATCATTAAATTAGTACATGCAGCTACATGATCAAATCTTGACCATTGTACTACCTGACCTTCAGTTTTTTATAGTCAATGTTCTTTTTATTCATAATCTCATCATGCCTCCATAATTTAAGATTTCAGACATATCAGTATAGGTTTTCTTCTTTCCAGCATTCTGTATGTTAACCTGTTTGTCAGCAAAAAACTTTGCTCATAACTTTTCAATGATTGGTTTTTTTTTCATATTTCACATATGCATTCTTGTCCTTGACCTTAGAGTTTGACCTTCTTTTGCAAACATTTTCCAGACTGTATCCTTGGCTATTACTTTTAAAATGTTTGAGTTAGGGCTTTTATTTGTCACATGTGTATTTCATGTGTCCAACCCTTTCCATAGGTACCAGGATTTTTTTTTACCTTTCAACCTTGATCTACTTAAAAAAAAAAATACCTTGACCACATCTTTTGAATGGTTGGTTTTTAGGACTTCCACATATCAAGTGTGTATACCTTGTGACAAGACTTTTCTTTAGATAACTGCAACTTTACCCTGATCATTAGATGTGACCTACATAAAAAAAATAAAAAAAAAATAAAAAAATCCTTGCCTATAACTTTTTAATGGTTGCTGTTTGGGTTTCCTAGTAACCATTATTTTTTTTATCTCATGACTTTGACCCTAGAATATGATCTTCTCTTTGAAATTTTTTGAATGGTTGGTACTAGGGTAAGCTATTATGTTTCACATTTATATTCCTTTTGAACTCGTAACCCTGACCTTGGAGTTTGACCTACATTTGAAAAACTTCAAACTGTACATTGCCTTTGGCTGCACATCCTGTATAAGCTAAAGTGTTTTTTTTTCACATTTAATCCAAACCCTGTATATGACCAATCACTATTTCGAAGACACAGGAAATTATTCTTTTATAAAATATGTATGTACTCATTCCAAACCTTGATGATTCACCATTCAGAAGACACCCAGTCTTGTCAGTTGTCTATTTGCAAGGTTATCTCAAACAGTTATCAACATTCAAATTTAGTTCATTATAGAAAATTTGCATGTCTTGTAAAGAATGGACCAAATTTTAAAGTAGTTCCATAATGGATAAAAGTTGTGGCTTAATGTCTTTGAGTGTCATCTAGAACTTGACAAATGTTCCATGCAAACTAAAGCCTTATCTATCAGCAATTTCCTAAGCAGTTGTGTGTATACATAATTGATCACAAGTAAATGATTCTACAAGTATCTGGGTTTTTCAGTGCAACCAGACAAGTATATTAATCTTGTCTGCATGTTAACTTTGCACTTAATTTAAATGACAAATTATGGACTGGAATTCCTTCAACATTTTTGATTGCAAAGAAAGAAATTCCAAGTCTTGATAGGGAAAAGAAACCCAAATAATCTACCATAATGCCTGATTAATGGTCCTGATTATCAATGTAAATGACATTGTACCAGCCACCTTTTGTATGCATAATGTCAGGTGTGGACTGGTAGTCATCTATTTCCTGTTTCTTATGAACCAACGCTTACCTCCCCTTGGCATTTCTATATACAAGGAGTTCTCCCCCTTTGATGAATTATGGCTGATAATGATGCAATTTGAAATAAATGACCCAAGGTGTTGAGTTAATGCCATGATTTGAGAGCATTTAAGGCTGATGGATCAATTAATCCATTACCTCAGGTGGCAGAACTTGTGAACAAAAAATTGATTTCATTCATCTTTTCCTAGTTTTTTTTCCCCAATAAATGCTAGCTGGGTTAATATACTAGTGGTGACAATCGTGACATTATTTAACAGTTTCACTGCATTTGAATTATAGGTGTATGCATTCATTCATTTGTCTATTTAAAGCAAAATATTTTTTTGGAAATTAAAGATCATGATGATTTTTTTCTGTTTAAAAAAAAAAAAAACTATACAGTTGTTGCATTGCTTTAGTGTAGCATTTATCAATTTCTCAAATTTTCATGTCATCCAATTTGAAGCTCTGAGTTGATTTTAGTTATTTCTCTTTGAAAATTAAATTACTTGATGGGTTTTCATTCTAAACAATTGAGAACTGGAGATCAACTCCCACAATTCACTCTCAATTGTATTTTTTTTTTTCTATCAAGTATCAGTTATGGATTATGCTTGAACTATTATTGAGTGCTAAAAGAGCAAGACAAATTGTAGCATAATTATCAGTACAAACAAAATCAATTATTGTACTTACAGATTAATTAACTTTGTGCGTCATTTGTGCAGTGTTTATTTTGTTAACTATATAGGGACAAATATTAGCATTTTTTCAGATGACCTCTTGGTTAATGTGTGTTAAATCTGTTGTAGAAAATAATTAATTTTGTAAAATTATTCAAGAACTCTTTTGTTTAAATTCTTAAGGTCCAATGTTTATACATAATCGAAAATAGAAATTGACAGACAGATATAGGTGATTTTGTGACCTTGCATTTCCACCCCAATCAATGACAGAGCTTGGTGGTCGTAGATTGTAATAATTGAATTCTACAGACTGATCCTTGACAGTGTCAATAGGAAGGTATTTGTGAAGTTGGAATTACTTCTGAGATGTTTAAATTTAATTTCTTGTGTAAATGGAACCGCCATGACAACAAAGCGCCAACATAGCCGCTGGTAAATAAACGTTTCTGTAACCCGGACAGTGTCATGACAGGCATATTATGGCCAGTGATGGCGTCAAATTAATAGAGAAGTCATAACAACTCGTGTTTCCTGTGCGCTCAACAACCTGTAATTTGAAATCAATGCTACCATTGTCTTATTGCTTCCCCCAGAGCTTTTTCATGCCATTCTTTTAAAGTTTGATATGAAATTTATATGACGTACACTAAGAGAATTTAATGACTTCATGGGGGAAAAAAATCAGTTTGGGATAAAAGAAAAAAATTTGTACGGGTATGCTATTTTGATGCTGACATTAATTTAAAGTTCATTTGGAAAATGGAAGACGTCAAGAAAAAAGACATCCTGCACAAAACATTTGTCAGTGATTGAAATATTGATAAAGTGATCTTTTGAAATGCAGTAATATATTACATTTCATGTGTTAATGGTAAATTTTTATGTCCCTGTACTGAAGATTTGGGAGTTATTTTTGCCCTAGCTGTTATTCTGTCTAGCTGTGTGTTTGTCAGTAAAGTCACTTTCACCTTGTCCATATACACATGTAGCTTTTGATTAGTTGAAGTTATGGCTGTGATTTTTAGATGTTACATTCCTAAAAACATGCCCTTTTTAAAAAAGTTTTTTGTAACTTGATCGACCCTTTGATCTTAACTTTGGCTACAAAATTATTAATTTTCACTTTACCAGTTATGGACCTGTATATTCTTGATTACATTTGTTACATTACAGGAGTTAAACTGCTATAGTTAAACATTGCCTGTATTCACTAAATTCACTAATGGCTCTAGGCTTGATACTGTAGATCACTGAATTTTCGCAACACCTTATTTTCGCGAGATAGTCATTGACTCTTTAATCTTTATGAGTGAGACAAAATTTTCACGAATTGTGGTCATTGCTCTATATAATCTTATGAAATTTTATTACATGCGAGAATGAAATTTTCACGAGCATACCCTCTCACGTAATTACGTGAAAATAAAGTTCTCGCAAATAAAAAGTGATTTACAGTAATTAACATTTGTTAGCGTAATTGTTACATTACAGGAGATGTGATGCTACAGTAATATTGCGCTTTCACTATATCCACTACTTGTCCTGTATTCACTACTGGCTCTGTTAAGCTTGATTACATTGATTTGTTACATTACACGAGTTGTGGAACTCCACTTATATTACATGTTCTCTATATTCACTACTGGCTCTTTTTAAGCTTGATTACATCTATTACATTTCAGGAGTTGTGGCGCTACAGTAATATTACATGTTCACTCTACCCATTACTGGCCTTAGACTCCATAGGTCCCACTGGAGATACAAGTAAGTGGTATATGAGTTCTCAATGACAGATTTTTTCTTCAATTTATCAGTGCGTTAATTTGAACTTATAATAATTAAAAAAAAGTCCTGCTACTTTATAAGTTATGTTTACTGAAATAAAACTCAAGTCTATGAAAAGTCACAAAAAGGACATACAATTCTTCAGGAAAATAATGCTTTTGGAAGGACATATAATACTTATCCTAACTTGATCAGTGCTTAGATATCAAGGCATGATTTTTTAATTTTCACTTTTCATACATAATTATGCAAATGATCAAGGTCTGATGGATAAACTCAACATATAGATACTTATACGTTCACCCTGTAAAATATAGTGTCGTTCAAACCATATAGTCATATAACTTTTTAACGTGTTGTAGATTGGAACTCTGCATTGATGATTATCATTAACGGAGAGAACGACGAACATCTGGAGATGTTGGAGGGGGGAGTCATGAGGCAGCTTCTGGATGAGAAATGGAAGGCTTTTGCCAGGGTTAGTCAGTCATGTGCCTTTATATTGGAACTTCCTGATTGGTTCAGTGCTGCTTATGCAGCAGTTCATAGCCAATCAGATGAAAGATTCCTCATGCATAAGTTAACTTTAAGTCGAGTAGTGTAATAAAGATTTAGAGCAGGAGTGTATAAATTTAAAAATATTGAAAGTTAACTTTTGAATCAAATATTGAAAGTTTTGAAAAATTAAATTCATGTGTAGTTCATCCTAATATAGTTTAAGCATCAATGTTAATTTATATATTTTACTGTATTTAGCATATAAAATACATGTACACATGACCGAAAATATGAATTTGAATGATAAAGTACATATCTTTTTCTTCTTTTTTTTTTTGACAGAGGCGGTTTTTTGTGCGGTTAATTTTGGCGTTTATACAATTGATTTTAATAAGTGTGGCTGTATATTTGAGACCCAAATCAAACCTTCTTGCCGTAAATAGTTATACAGACATTGTAAGTATCAAAGAAGTATTGAATATTGGGTATACAGAAATGTTTTCCCCAACTTTATTCTCTCCTTACATGGTTGCTTTTAAAAACTATCAAATAATAATAATCAATTTAAAAAAAAGTCAACTTCCTGAAACAGCTTGTTTTCTTAATTAATTCAAATATAAAAATTAAAAGCAAAAATAGTTTTAGTGCAATTCAGAAATATTATACATATGAGAGAGGTTCCTTCTGGTCTGTCCGTTTTAATCATTTCAAAGTCAATAAAGTTATTTTTGTAAAAAAAAAAATATTGCAATTCCATAAAGTTAACCATATAAATCAATTTTGTAACATTTTACTTGCATCTCTTTCAGATTCGTTTTGTGTGTGAGATTCTTACTTGTATAGGATGTTCTATAACATTAGTGGCTGATGTCTTTGAAATCATTACTCAGGGAATATTTAGTTTCTTAAAAAATTGTGTAAGTATACATTATAGTTTCTTGATAAAATTAAAAATGTGATTTGATATTTTATAATTAAGAATATGTATATATAAAGTCAGTTTCAAGTTATTTGCAAATGCTATATGAAAAGGATTTTTCTTATCCATGCAGTCTATAATTTCATTTTTTATTGACCATGAGTATTATGGTGTACATATATTGAATTGTTAATGTCCTACAGCTAAGAGTGCTCTATGTGTTGTCTTCAATGAAAAATGTAAAGAGTTAAGACTATATATACAACTCTAGAAATGCGTTGATTTTGAAAGGATATGTTTTATTTGTTAAGACAATACTGCCCCTATTCCCAGCTGTATAGTCCTGCATATGGTCATTACATTTTGACATTGTGGCTTGATATTCAGTTTTCAAAGTCAAGAAGAATTTTTTTTCATGGTCAGCAAGATACTTGCATGTGCATGCATGTACATTGCAATCATGATTTTACAGTTAAGGCAGACACAGATATGCTAAAACTGATTTCTTCTGATTGGGAGGGGGGGACGTGACTAGCATTCAGCAATGTTTATGACTGGCAAAGTCTTCATATAGAAAAAAAAACTGGAGGGGGGGCATGTACAACTAGGAGTAACTACTAAGCAAAAAGAATAATGGACCGCTCGTTTTACAGAAAAATGCGCCAGCCCAGACGCTGTTTATGATATCTTGTATCCTGTTCCTGGCCTGTATTCCGTTCCGATTCCTGGAGATGAAGCAGGTAGAAGACGTCCTGATGATTATAGCAGTCCCCTGTTCCTGGCTGTTCCTTCTATTCTTTGCCAGGTATGAGGGGAAAACAATTTCACTCAGAAAATCATTTTGAAATTGTTTAAAGTTTTCTTTTTTATTTTTGATAAGAGAGTATTAAATATCTGTGGAAGGTTTTATCAGTTAATTAATCATTGGCATCTTATAAAAATTTTTATAAATAAAATATTTAAGACTTGATTTAATTGGAGAAGTATTAATAAATAAGAAATAACAAAATTGATACCAAATGCTCAGATTTCAACATCAAGAGAGAGAAAGGATATGAAAAGAAGAAGAACTGTAAACCAATTAAAATGGCCCTTTTAAGTTCTTGCCGTCAACATTTGATTGGTTAATTTTGGGTCGCATGTTATTGCCATCAACATTTGATTGGTTAATATTGGGTCACATGTTTTCAGAGGTCACCCTGACACGGGCCCCATGGTAGTAATGATGTATGTCATGATTCTCAATGACATGGTACAGTTCGGATACATCTTTCTCATATTTTTGAACACATTTTCTCTAGGTATATATTTGTTTTGGAAGTGTGACAATTATTTATTTTGTAATCTCTCTACTAATAAACAAAGTATATATATATTGTGTGTCTGTCACCAAAATGTGTGCCAAATGTTTTTTGTATTGTGCACACTAACTTGCTTGATATACTGTATGTGTACTTAAAAATGCGGGCTCCATATTTTAGCGGCTTTGGCGCAGGCAACGATGCGCTAATTCATGAATACAGCTAAGAAATCATTTATAAATACAAAACACTGCACGGACATAAGTAGCCCTAATTCATGACTACACCAACAACTCCATACCCAGTGACTGCGCTAAATTTATGGTACGCCGAATTATGTACAGGCCGGTACAGTATGTTTGTATACAGATTCAGGAAAGTTTATTACATAAACATAAAATTGGCGATTTCCTAATTAGGACACACCCCTGTTTTTTCAGCACTCTGGACAAATGTTGTCCAACATGAATAGGTTAATACATATACGTTAAAGTATACAGAACTAGTCGATACATCATTAACTGAAAATAAGAATAATTGATTACACAGATTTAAATTGGTACATTGCGGTAAAAGAAGATGCTAAAAGTTTAGGGATTGGTTTAGAAAATTCTGCAAACAATGGATGCCCATTCAATTTGGGTATAAATAAAGTATTTTTTTTTTCTGTCATAATGGTATTTATAGTCAATAGAAGTGATCATCCATCTTTACAGTTTGTTGTTAAAAATGTGTATGAAGCATATGTAGCCAGAATATCCTTTAAGATAAAATGTTTTCTTCAGTACAAAATAAAACTAGCTACATGTATTTGTTTGATGACTTGTCAATATTTGTTCTCCACCTCTGAGCCCCCATTGAACAGTACACACAAGCCCACCAGCAGTAAATATATAAACAGACTACGATTGATTTCAAGATCAATCACTTCAAATCCTTTCCACTGGAAGAAGCCTGTCATTATAATTACAGTTGAGCCTGGCTATCTTGGACACTGTTATCTCAGATACTTTGGATATGTCAAAAAAGAATTGAGTTCTAGGCTAAGTGCTTATTAAGTATTTTACCTTGAATTCTTGGTCTTATCAAAATTCAGTTAATGAGGTGTAACTGTATTATTCTTAACCCTTAGAATGTATTAAAGTTTATATTGATTACATTGATAAAGTTCAAAGTTCAGAAGGAATTAATTAGCTGATATGTTCAATTTTTAGGTCACCTGAGTCACTCAGGTGACCTATTGCCATCCGTGTTTGTCCGTCGGCGTCCGTCGTTTGTCGTCCATTGTGTGTTAACATTTGAACATTTTCAGCTTCTTCTCTGAAACTGCTAAACCAATTTCAACCAAATTTTGTATACAGCATTTGTGGGTGAAGGGGAACAAAAATTGTGAATTTCATGGTCCCCGCCCCCCTTGGGCCTGAGGGGTGGGGCCAAAACCACCAAAATTATTGCAATCTTTAAAAATCTTCTTCTTTACTCCTGGACATCAAGCAGGCAAACTGTTGACATGAATGTAATGAGCATTGAGTCCTCTACCAAAATTGTGAAATTCATGGCCCAAGGGTCGGGGGTTTTTGTGCTAGGGCGGGGCTATATAGATTATATAGTGAAAATGCATTATTTCTTTGAAAATCTTCTTTTCTGCTCTTGGGTATTAAGTAAACTAACTAAGTACATAATTATGTTGAGCAAGAGTGCCTCTTCCAAAATTGTGAATTTTATGGCCCCAGGGTCAGGGATTCTGGTGTTAGGGCGGGGCTCTATTGATCATATAGTGAAATGCATTTATTCTTTGAAAATCTTCTTCTCTGCTCTTGGGTATTAAGTAAACTAACTAAGTACATAGTTATGTTGAGCAAGAGTGCCTCTACCAAAATTTTGAATTTTATGGCCCCAGGGTCAGGGGTTCTGGTGTTAGGGCGGGGCTCTATTGATCATATAGTGAAAATGCATGTATTCTTTGAAAATCTTCTTCTCTGCCCCTGGGTATTAAATGAACTAACTAAACACATAGTTATGTTGAGCAAGAGTGCCTCTTCCAAAATTGTGAATTTTATGGCCCCAGGGTCAGGGGTTCTGGTGTTAGGGCGGGGCTCTATTGATTACATAGTGAAAATACATTAAATCTTTGAAAATCTTTTCTTTGCTCCTGGGTTTTATGCCAATGATCCAAGTATATATATTTATGATGAAGAAAGGTGCATCTAGCAAAATGATTATTTTTTATGCCCCTGGTCGGGGGGGGGGGGGGGGGAGGGGGGTTCATATAAATTAATGCTTTGAAATCTGAAAATAAATTAAAATGCAAAATTTTGAAATCTGCTCCTTGGGATGAGGTGCACAACTGGTTATAAAGTGGAATGCATTTTATCATACATTTATGATAAAATTTGCAAAATTGTCAGGAAATAAGGGCCCCCCTGTATGTGATTAAAATAAACTAGAATCCTTTCAAAAAAATGAAGAAAGTGACAATGAAATTTGTTTATCATCCAATTTCTCAGTGGAAAAAGAACAATTTAGCATAATTTTGGTGGATTATTTACACTTAAAGTATTAAAGTAAAGTTAAACTTTATCTTATTTGTTTTTTGTATTCATTTTTATTTTGAAACGATTAAAAACATGAAATTAAATATCATAAAAAGAACACCAAAATAACCGCCCCCTTTTTGCAATTTTCTAAGCGCCCGGGGCAGTAAATAGGGATTATACGGTATTAGGTAAATAGACTAAGCATGCTAAGTTCATAATTATGAGGAGCAATGGTGCCTCTTTCAAAATTGTGAATTGTGAATTTCATGGCCTCTGGTTGAAAACACGAACCAATTTTAATTGTTTGAAAGTTGTTGCATGATACTCAGGTGACCTATAAGGCCCGTGGGCCTCTTGTTTATTGTTACCATCTCCCACCACTGAAATAGAAATGAAAGTTAACTAGTGCTAATTGTAACGGGGACCGTTACAGATGTTCCCCAAACGCTCCCCAACTTCCTTTTGGTGCCATATCCCATGTAAGCCTCATTAAATAAGACAAACTCTATGTATTTGAGACTTTAACAACATTTACCAAAAGTGAACCAAGTTCATTTTAATTTTAGCATTGCACGCGTGCGCATATGAATGCATCTGCGTAATGACCATATCAGCTTGTCTACACAATTTATATATTTTAATATACTAAATATTTAAGTATTTAATCCAAAAGAATTAAAAAAATACGCTCATTCAAGTGTATATTTGATTTTACTTATTTTACGTGCACGCACGTGCAAACATGAGGATGGTGACCATACCTTCTTGTAGAAGTCCATTACATCTAACTATGTTCTAAATCCCACCCTGTTTGGTTGAAAACCAAGGGAGTTATTGCTGTTTAAAGTTTCAGCCAATCAGAATGCAGCGCACGTACAGGCACGTGTATTCATGTGCATGGTGACCACACTTTCTTGTAGAAGTTCATTATATCTACTTATGTTCCAAATCCCATCCTGTTTGGTTAAAAACCAAGGGAGTTATAGCTATTTCAAGTTTAAGCCAATCAGATTAAAGCGCACGTGCATGCACGTGTTTTCATGATAATTGCTATATATCATGTTTTAGGATATCCTAATGCATGGCTATGTTCAAAATTTCATAGGATTTCGTCAAAAAACAAGAAAGATATTGAGACTTTAGTTTCAGCCAATCAGAGCGAAGCGCACGTGCATGCGCGTGAGATCTTGTATTTTGACCATGTCATACTATGCTACTATTATATCCTTATAATGAGTTTCAAAGCATTTCATCAAAAATATAAAAAGATCGGTCATTTCAGTGTTGCAATTGCAAGCACGTAGCAAAATGTTCCGCAAATTTACATAACATACCTACTGACCCTAAAAAGGTTTTACCTAAGTCGGATGTGTAGTTTAAAAGATCACTCCAGGACAAAAAAGTACCCAGGAAGAAGAAGAAAAATAATAATAATAATAAGAAACAGAGTAAAAACAATATGTTCCCCAACTTCGTTTGGGGAACATAATTACTACATGTTTCCATCCTGGCGAGTTCTTGTACTGCAATTCTCCACCTAAAGACATTTGTACACACATTCATAAATATTTTTAGAAATAGAGATTGCGTTTAAAATTCTTTGTACTAGCTTAGTATACATTGAACAACACCAAAAATAAATAGTGTGCTGTGATACCTACATACAGGATTGTGTGAACAGAACACCTAGTTTGAACCTTTATCCAATGTTTTTATTTTCCTTCAACCCCCCCCCCCCCCCCCCCCCAATAAAAAGAAATATGATACCAATGTGTGTAAAATGAAACAGTTGATATTCTTGAGTTTTTGTAGACTAAATATGATTGTGAACTCTCTGTTGCACAGTTGGTTTGCATTGTGACCTTTGCACTTTGACCTTTCTTCTTGCAGGACCTTTAAACTAACAGGACCTTTTGTCACCATGATCTACAAAATGTTGCTAGGTGACCTCCTTCGATTCGGCATTATTTATGTTATTTTTCTCACGGGATTCACACAAGGTTTGTAATGCTGTGTTTTAATATGAAAAAAAAATTATTCTCAATTTCAGATGAAACTTTTACTGCACTGAATAACAATCTAACTTTATGACATCAAATGATCTATGGGATGAAGCTGCAGTATATTTTTTTTTTGGGGGGGGGGATAATTTAAAGAAACACAATAACAAGACTAGTTATCTAGTATGGATATACAATTTGTATTTCCCTGTAAATCTTTAAGTATTATAATATATTTTTGTAATTTGAATGACTGAAATAGATACATGTAATTTAATTTTTATTAAATCATTAAGTTTTAATGCAATACATGTGGTTGTTAATTAAACTCCCAGCAATTCATTGTCCTTTTGTAATATGTGTGCAGCTTGCTGTGAATTTCTTGATTTTCGTTGACAGCATTCTACTTCCTGTTCCGCGGGAACACCAGTAACCAGAGTCAGGGCTTTGACGACATCGGAGATACCGTCCTGACCCTCTTCCAGATGACCTTGGGGGAATTCAAGGTATTTTTAGATTCCAGCAATAGAACCACTTCTAGCTTTGGGGAATTTCATGCTTTGAGAAAGGCACTATAACAGTTCTGAAGTTCTTCATGATTTGTAATAATAATGCATCAAATAATTGTATCTAACCAAACTACCAGTACACACTATTTAACCATAAAGCTGCTAGCTTTTCTATAAAAACAATAAATATAGTTATATGTCTTGAAAAAAAAAATAGATCTGCTCTTTCAGCTTGTTAAAATGTCTGCTTGTATTGCGTATTCAAGCACCACATCTTTTCTAGTATATTTTTTAAGGCCTAAATCAATAATTTATAAATTAGTCTAGAAATGAGGAGAAATGGAAAATTGTAGGACTTGAATTAAATCAGTTTTTGTACTAATTATTGTATCTGGATTCATAATTTTTCTCATTAATTTGGGGCTGTCTGATTCAGAAATACTGACAGAGTGTGATTTTACAATGTTTACTGCCAGAAAATAATTTTACGTATTATGTATTATTATAGTAATTCTGATAGCTTAAATTCATTATTTTTAGGGGTGCCATTGAGTAGGAAATAAAGTTTTGTCAATATTTAAATCAATACACACTAAGATTTATTCCAGTCCTCTTCAGTCACTGTTCATTTTGTCATGCCTCGATCATCTTTGATATTTCCACCTTCATTTACCTCACAGTATGCAACCCTTCAGTAAATGCGATGCATGAAAATTAATTAATCTCATAATTTTTCAGACTCAGAAATCATTGTGTTTCAGAAGATTTCCCAATTCATTTTGTTTTATGAAAATCCCACTCATCTGTGACTTAAATTCACCCCTTATCCCAAGCATATTCTAATGGTTCCTAATCCCACATATATATATATCCCATAATCCTTGCCCCTTTCAAGCATGATGTAAGACGATATCATTGGTTGGCCATAGTGCATGACCCTGATCACATGACCACTTTTCTGTGTATAGGTGTATATAAGTTGTTTTTGTTCCATGCATGCATCATAGTTTAGCCGCGGAGGAACCAATTCACAGGTACACGAGAATTTCACCAAGAAATTCATTTTTAAACAAAATTCATTTATAAATATTGTACTTTTTAAAATTCAACAGCAATTTTTTTCTTTGTTTACTAAATTTGCACCTTTTCATTGCACAAATATGCATTCACATTACAATAGATGTTTTGTTGTTGTAAGCACATTTCACCTTTAACCTGTTTATTGTACTTGACCTTTCAACCTTGCACTCAACCAGTTTTACCCTTCAGACTAGCTGGTAGAAAAAAAATCATGAGGGTGTTATATTCTTTAAAATAGATACATAGAATGTCTAGATTCATTAAGCTAGTTTTCTTTAGGTGCAGATTAGTTTAGGAATAATGATCCCTTTCCTTCGAACCTTTCAATTCTTGTTTTAATGCAGTATTTTAGATTATTTCAGTTTAGTTCTAAGCCAGTCCATTATAAGTACTAATGTACTTATAAATTAATATTTTTTCTCAAATATTTATTATGTAACTTGAAAACATCAGTGTTGATCATAAACAAGGTAATGGCACACAAAATATGTTGATGTTGAATTTAGATTTATAAAATTGTTGTATTTTCCCTTTACTTTACATTGTATTTTTTCTATAAATGGAATATGTAGTCAATGTGGTTTTATTAATCTTTTAATTGCAACTATATTTCTTTAATCTGACATATATAATGAGCCTGCAGGAATAATGCATGGTCATTAATGGATTTGTCAGTTTTGAATAGAAGAGCAAAAACCTTTCAATTAACTATATATGAATCTGTAATCGTCATATGCAACTCATTTTGCACTGAATTTCCTACAATAACTTTGAATGTGCTAGGCTGTAGGATTGTGCTAGCTAGGCTTTGGCCTTTTGATGCACAGCCATGGGGTCATTATTGAAGACACAAGGACAAGATGTGCTTGTGCTAATTTTACATACAGTGTTTCGGTTGGTCTTTCTATATATTAATTTGTTATTTACTTATAAAAAACTATATATTTTATGGAGAAAAAAAAATTATGCAGTCCGATTGTTTGACAGGATTTTTCCGTGCAGTCATACAGGGGAATACCAAATAATTTCTGCAGTTTGAAACTTTTGCAATTTTACTTCTCAAACAAATAAAATTGGCAGTGATAAATTTGGAATTGATTAAGATGACTGCAAAGAGGAAGCTGATTTCGGAGAAGATATTTTGAAATTTTTGAGTAAATTTCAAAAAAAAATTGACAACTGCAGGAGTTCATTACAAGAAGTAAATGTTATTTGTGATAAAAGGGTCATTTATGCTAAACTAAGTGTATTACTATTTTCAGTACCAGGATTTTAATTACACAAAATATTCCGGGCTGACGAAGATAGTGTTTGCCATCTTTATGATGCTGGTTCCCATTCTACTACTGAACATGTTGATAGCCATGATGGGTAACACCTACACAATGGTCATAGCCAAATCAGAAAAAGAATGGAGGAAGCAGGTGGGTTTACTTGGCTTTTAGATTTAAAATGCTTCGATCAAACTTCAGTTGCCAATACATATTGATGAGCGCTTCTCAACTGGCAGCAACAGTTTTACCTTGACCTTTCCTTTGACCTTGACCGTACTCTTAAATTTGCATTAATGTCATTCTTAAAGAAAATGTATTTTTATCAGACTTATATGCTGATTCATATTGATAAGAGCACCCTTTTTTAACCTTGACTTTTCTTTTGACCTTGCCTCCATTCAGGGGTCTTTTTTAAAGACATTGAGAGTAATGATAGGCTATTTAATTTAATTTAAAAGCTGAAAGAAAAATAAAGTTATCATCTTGAAACTGTTGCAATGTATGTATTCTGACCTTGACTTTTGACCTACTGACCTCAAAAATGCACATGAACATTATTTACTCAGTAGGAAAAAATGAAAAACATCTTTGCAAGAGGAGATGATTATTTAAAAATTTGGTTGACTTAACAAATGTTTTGATAGAGTCTATTTATTGGACAATTTTCTTTTGACAGTGGGCTAAAATAGTTGTAGTCTTAGAACGCGGCTTCTCCAGAAAACAGCTGCTGAATTTCCAAAAGATGTACGCCATAAAAATGTTGGGTCCCCCAAAAGAGAACCTCGCAGAAATCACAGAACAGGTAGAGGAACAGCGTGGCCTGATGGTCATCAAAACGTCCAGCAAGACCAAGGCCAGGCAGCGCAAGGGCGCCATCGCTAACTGGAAGGTACGCAGCATAGGCATTAAGTGTCAGCTTTATTTTAAGCAACAAGTTCCTGCAAATATATATTTAGAACTTGAATTTTGATTAATTATGATGTATCATTGAATATTTAACATAATATAATATTTTCTTGGCTGTGTGATTGTATAGCAAACCTTAATTTATTTATTTGTTAAATAATCTAAGAGTTTCTGTACCTCTTTTTATCTCTTGTCATGCATATATAGACCTTACTCTTCCTAATTTTACCATTATTTATTCATCTAATAATTCATATTTTTATGTGTACATATTTCTAACTGGCTGTGCTGTTACTTTTTTTAGAAACTAATTAATGCTTACAATCTCCAGTAATAACTGTTGTGAGATTTGTCATAAGATTTATCTAGATATAGGTGAAATTTGAACTGGAAACATGTAGTGTTCAATTTAATACAGCATTACTAGTACTATATCCAAAATTAATTTTTCTTTTTTGTGAAAAGAGGAAATCTGTGAAAGTTAGTTTACAGTATCCATAATTAATATTTTTTTTATGAAGAGAAACTTGAGAATTTCTATTGGAAAAAAACCCATTTGGAATAAGATTTTATTACATTATCATTTTGGCAAGTCTTTCTCTCAATAATTTACTAAAGAAAAGTCTTTTTCCATTCAGTAAACACCCCCCCACCCCCACCCCCGATTCAAAGTCACCTTCTAGGTACTATATATTTTGTGTCAATAAGCACACTCATCTCTGTAATATTCAGTCAGTACACATCAATCATGTCTTCACATTCGTTCTAAAGTCACTACATTGTAGTGATGTAGTTTTAATTTTGACAGCTTTTCAGAAGCAAAACCCATAAAGCCAAAAAAAAAAATTGAAAACAGCCATTTAGTACACACAATTACACCCGAGTTGGATTTGTTTGATTGTAGATCACATATGGACCAATCTGGTGTACAGATGAAGATGTCATGGTTGATTCACTTATCATTATGTTACAGAGAATTTCATTGGCCAATAAGATGGTCATTTTTACCATTTACAAAAAGTTCCAATGAAAAGAATTATACTCAGTGTAATTTATGTTATGTTAAGAAATGTTTTAATGAACAGAGTATTTATGCCCACACATTCTAAAGAACCTTTGGATATAATGATTGGGGAAATCATTTGAGGAAAAAAAAAATTCATTTTTCCATTTGATGAAAATTCATGTTGAAACAATTTTTCTGAAAATGACCTAACAATTGGCTTTTGAAAGGCAATAACTGCATGTGAATATGTTGATCACTAACTTTTTTTCATTTAATTGATAGATGGTTTCAGGGAAAACTAGATCGAACTGCATGTTTCATTGTTTTTAGCATGCTATATTGATTTATTGTCTCAAATCAATGAAAGCTATGAAAAATTCCAAGGTTGTCTATAAGATATTCAAAATTGCTGAACTGTGTAAATAAAAACAAACCCAAAAAATCAAGAGTTAAGGATCATAAATAATCATTGATCAGAGCCAATAAAATTTCTACTTTGACCCAGTATTAAAGTGAACTCTTTACTGTGTGTATGATAATGCACTCTATATTTTCATCATTTAAATTAAGCCTATGAATTTCAAATGAATCTTTATAAATTTTGCATCAAAATGTCAGAAACATACCATATAAGTGGAAATTTTAGTGAGATGCAAATTTAGCAATTTTTCCTTAAAAATTGGTACATGTATTTTATTTTTAGTGAGATGTAATTCTAGCGATTTTAAAAAGCTCACTAAAGAAGCTATCACAAATAAAGCGTTATTAAGTTTTTTGCAATATTCAATTTTAGCGATCTTGGCACCCTCATTAATAATGCCAAAATTAAATCCTTGCTAAAAATTCTGCTTATACGGTGTAGTTCTCTGAACTATTAATGAATAGAAAAATGTGTAATATTTTTTATTGAAAAAAATCTTTAATTTTCAGTTATTTGGAAAAGAGGTCATCAAACAGTTGAAGAAACACAAAAATAAAGGAAAGAAAGAGCCATTCCAGTTGGGCAGAATCAAGCGCAAGAGAAAGTTGTCGTTTAATGAGTCCGATTATTCCAGCGACGAAGACGAAAAGGCCAAAATGTTCTCCATGACACTAGCGCAGTTGGCATGGGAACGAGACATCGACCTTACCAAGGGTAAAACTTTTGTGACAGATCCAAATCTTATAGAAAAGTTATCCCCTTACATTGGAAAGGAGGAACCTGGCAAAACTGTGATACAGAATCATTCAAGTCCCGCTTTGATGGGTGGTGGTTCTCCTACCTCCAACCATCAGATCCCTAACGGGGTCAAACATAGGGCACCGGGGGAGAGGACTGTGAAAAAACCCGCAGGAACCCCCAAATCTAGCCCCAAATCGGCTACCACCAAACAATTCAATTATAACAGGGTCTCCCCCCTTGTGTTGATGAAAAAATCTTCCCCCACCGATGATTCTGAGAGTGACTTGGAGGGGATGAAACCCAGTGATAGTGTGAAGAGAGGTATGTCAGTGACTGATATTTCAGTACATGGAACAATGGACTCCTCTAGGAACACTCATCATAAAATGTTTTTGGAAGACTCTAAACCCACTGTAGAAGTTAAAAAGCTACACTGGGACAATGTGCCAAATGTTGCCTATACGCCAGGTTATGCAAGTTCTAAAACAAGCAGTACCAAGTCGGGAAGTGTCAAGTCGGACGGTTCTAAGTCCAAGTCGGACTCTGAATATAAACCTAGTTTTTACTCCAAGTCAGAAGATGGCTACACGAGTCAAGGAAGTGTGGAGTCTTCATCAAAGGCTTCTAGGGTATCTCGAGGGGCAGAATCTGTGTCCTCAAAAACCTCTAAATATTCCTCAAGATCCACAACAACGGTGGAGGAGTCAACAGTGTCAAAATCCTCAAAGGGAGGAGCAGACTGTTCCTTACAGGAGATGGACTCCGAAACAGAGGACACCTCGAGGATATCAAAAGTCAGTAGTTCACAGAGTATTTCTCAGAAAGGAACAGAACTCGAAACAAGCGAGTCCTTGGCAAAGCCCCCCAAGCCTTCGAAAAGTCCCGAGAGGGAGGGAGGGTCGACCAAGAAAAGCAAACATAAACGGAAAAAGAGCAAGAAAAGTAGACACGGTAGTCGGGCTTCTTCAAAAGCTTCACTGTTGCCTTCAGAAGAAAATGAGGATCGTGAAAGTCAAGTTTGAAGATAGCTACTAGGATATTTAATGATTATTGTAAGATTAAGTTTTAGTACCAGGGTACTGTCAAAATATAAAGTCTGGGTTTTGTGAACTAAAGCAGACAAGGAAGTAGATAAAGTTTAGTTTCATTTTAAAAGGGGGTAAAATTATGTGTTTATTCCAGATATTTTTTTTAACAATTTTTTTTTCTGTTCTGATATGCTTTGCAATGACTGCAGCTGCTTATTTTGTCATGGTAATTCCATTATCTCCACATTAAAAAAAAAACAAGCTAAATACTGTTAGGATTAATAACTCAAGAAGCAATAAACTAAATGAAATATAAATAGTTTTGGTTCTGCATGATGTCCTTTATAATGTCACCTTTTAAATAATACTTGATTTCTCCTCATTAATTGTAATCAAACATTGTGGGAAAAGAAAGGACATCTTTTTAAGCTTAATGTTCTATCGATCCAATTTTCCATTTTGATTGAATTCTTTTAAAATTGATATTTTTTTCTAATAACCAGATTTTACTTTTTTTTTTTTCAAGTTTCACTTTTCCTTGACTAGTCAAATCTGAAAAAATAAATCCATTAATTTTTTTTTCTTTTTCTTTTTTTTTTTTTTAAACAGGTTTAACACTGTGCTATTTTTATAAGCCATTTGTATAAAATTTCACAGAAATATGATAAGATCAATAAATTTTGGGCAAAATTTCTGTAATTTTTCTACTAAAATTATCGGTATTTTTATCGTTGATGGAGAGGTACGGCGCAACATTAAGCAAAAGCATGTGGATTCAAAAGTTTAAACATTGATTTTTAAAAGTTAATTCAACAATTTTCTCAAATAAAATTCTGTTATTAAAATTTAGTAATATTTGAAGCACTAACAGAAATATAGTGATTTTTCTCTGATGCGATTCCCGTGAAAACGACAGTGATAATGACGTCTACTGAAATGACGGCGCACCACACTTTTATTAAAATATGTGTAATGCTCTAGATATCGGCAGCATTAAGATCCAAAATATGCATAATAAAACATGTAGTAAACTAGGCTACTCGTGACATTCGCCCGCAGATAGCAAATTGAAATTTTAGACAGTTAGACCTCTGTAAAAAGGCTATACGGGAGGACGGGAAAAGATTAGACGAAAAATTAACTTTGCTGTAGAGAACGTGATTTTCAATATCACACTATATCTCATAAGTAGTTTTTGGTTTTAAAACAAAAAAAAAAAGAATATTCTTTACTTGTTTAATAGATTTTAAGCTTTACAAGAAATGGTGTTTTGATTTTTTGTAAGGCCTCAAACTATACATATATGTTGAGAAAATGAAAGCTCAATCACATATTTTTTAAAATGCTTGTGAAGTCGAAGATTTTTTGACTTAATGGTATGTCAAATCACTCAAAATTAATACCAATTTACAACATTTTGATATGAAAAAGACCATATATATAAAGATTCTTTTATATTATTTGTGAAATTTTGATTATGTCGTCAAATATGTGCAACAAAATTTTTACTAGTAAATATATATAAATATTCCATTATATGTGCTTTTTGTGCTGAAAATAGTGTGTCTGATCAATAAATCAATTTTTCTGCAGAAGAGATTGTATTTTCATATTCTATGCAGTCTATTACAAATTATTTAAATGGTTTTTAGTTTGTGTCGATATTAATGTATGTTTACTCATTGTTCCAGTAAATCATGCTGTTTTTATTTTTTTAAATGTTTTTTGTGAATTTATTGTTTTTATATCTTTAACCTTTGAGTTTTAGTAGACTCTGTAATGAAATTTAATTCTAAAAGGGTACAACTTACAAGAAGGGTACATTTTAAATGTTATTTGATATTTCTGATGTTAAAAAAAAAAGTTAAATCATCTATGTACCAATGTTATGATTAAGGTGGCTTGGCCTGATTGAAATGCTCATTTTTTCATGCCTAGAAATGGTAATTAATCCCTTCTTTTCCCTTAAGTTTGGGACACAAATTCTCTGAATTAGCCTATTCTAACAATTATCAATTTTTAAAATTTTATACATCTTTGAAAGCACACTGACTCTAAGAATATAATTTTGCGAAAGTAAAAATTTTCTATGGAGAATATTTTTTTCACAAACAACCAATAATATATTTTTTTACCATAACAATCGAACCAAGCACCCTACCAGTAAATTTTTGTGATTTCAAGTCTGCATAGGTAAGCTAAGAATTATGATTTAATTTTAATAGAAAAGTTTGTGTTTTTTTATTTTCTTTTTTTAATTCATATTGTTTTTGAAGTAAAGGAAATCAAACTGACCCCAGCCAAAAGATTTACCTGACAAAGTGACTCACTATTTTGTTCTTTTTTCGAAAGATAAATTGAAAAAAAAAATCTGAATTTCAAAACAAGATAGTTTATAAAATTGCGATCACGAAAACTGACAAATCACCCTATGATGAATGCTGTTGAAGATTCTTTTCAATTTAAAATGAAGTCCAACCTTGTAATATCGACCTTAATTGTCCTGACAATGTCAGATTCCAGAGTCAACACATTGCCATTTGACAACAATATATTGACTCAAGAACCCTGATGTTTATTAGGATGAAACTTGATGGGACTGGGATAAAATTTGAGATAGCCAAAAATTCTAGATAACAAAGTTTTTAGACTTCCATATTGATCAATACAACATATCCATGGTATTCGAAATACCAGTGTTTGAAATAATGAAATTCTACTGTATATAAAAGGACAATGTTAAACCATCAGTGGTCACTGCATAACCATGTTTCCAATTTTTATTCAAGACCAAAATTTATTTTCTTTTAAATTTCAGTAAATAATTTTTCTTTTCTGTGGTATACTTTCCAATAATCAGTAAATTGATTTATAAATAAGACATGAATTTGTGTGACTAATATCATATATATGTTTTAAATGAAACACATTTAATCATGTTAATGTTAAATGATGTTTTTATTGATAAACCATGACAATGATTGTATAAATGGTGATATTATGTTCTAAAATGTTAGCTAGTGCCAAACTGTCTAAATAATAATTATGATATATGTATGTATTGTATATATATACCGTATTCATGTGCATTGTATATAAACTATTTATATCAATTTATTTACTTGGTTTAATCTCAACAAACATGTACAATTTTTTAATTTTAATTTTTGAATGACTTATAAAAGGAGAGTTTACAGAGTAAGTTTTGTTGCAGAAGGATACTCATGAATAAAATTATAAATTCCGTCCAATTTCATCTAAATTCTTGTGTGTGCAATATATGAATAGTTTGGCATAGAGCAAAGTATCAATAGCTACAAACATTAATCGTCAGAAATACCATTAAAATCAGTAGAACATACATACATCTTTGAAAGTTAAATATTGTAATAATTCATCAGGAACCAATTTAAATTTTGGCATTTTTTTCTGCAGCATGAATCAAAAAAAGAAAAGAAACAACAGTAATGATTTATTGGGCTTATAAAAAGGTTTTTTTTTAGAGAATGAGAGCAACATTCCATATAAATTGCATTTATGATTTTTAGTCAGCTTTGACTATTCTATATATTATTGCCTAGCTGTGATTGACCTCCCTTTGTTTATGGTTTGTGGTCCTTAAGAACAGAAGTGATGATTATATCCCTGTGACTTGTTTTTAGTGATAAAAATTGTATTTTTAAGGGGAAAAAAAGATAGTAAATGTTGGTAAGACTAGTGTAAAATCTTTGGTTCATAAATAAACTTGATCATTTTCCAAACTATACAGTACATGCATCCACTTAATCTTTCTCATGAAGTTTGTGATGGTTTATATGTTCATGTTATTTTATGTGATATGGCATTGTATTTTGATTTATCGTGCATGTATTTGTTTACATTTAGTTTAAAAATGGTGAATATAAGTTCCATTTGTAATTCAAAAGAAAATGTTGATGTGGAATCCCTCTACATCATTTCCTAAGTTTTGAATTGCCAATTGCATGAATTGTGATGATAAAATCTAAGTTAATATGCAGTTAAAAGTCCCATGGATAAATCACCTTGGATGTTGAACTTCAATGATTCAACTTAATTATACAATCTCAGTAATAATTTAAGTCCCATAAAGAAGCCAAAGACTAATTGTAGTCCCATTGTGTTATTGTGATACTTAGTGCTGTTGATATATTCTGTACAGAGCTGTACATATTGTTGATGTTTTTTGTACAAACCTGTATATTGTGTCTAGATCTTCCATTGTAAATTGCTGCATTATTTGTTCACTGGAGGCTTTGTTAGAATGTACAACTGTTCTGGTGTAAATAAAGATTTCTTTTTTTTTATAAATAAAATCTCAACAAACAACAATAGTCATGTACTTCTTCATATTAACCAAGATTATGAAATGCCTAAAGGATATGCATTTAATGTCTTTCCTTTGTTTAGAATGCAAAATCAAATTTAAGGTCTGGGTCATGGGAATTAATTCTGATCCTTGGGTAAATGTAAAAGCATACTTATTATCAGAAAGTATTGGTCTCAGCAAATTGACGACATCTTTTTCCTTTTTTGAAAATCATGGTCCAGGGGTTAGGAGTTAGCAAACAAATTGAATGCAAGGTTATGATGAGTTAAAGGCTGTCTTTTCCAAAATTGTGAATTTTAAGGCCGCGGGGACAGGGGTTCTGGTGTTAGGGTGGCCTCTAATGATAAAATTGTAAAATTCTATAATTCTCTACTTCTGGGTAAAAAGCCAATGAACTAAGAGTAAAGTTATGATGAAGAAGTGTGCCTCTTTTGAAATGGTGAATTTTATGGCCCGATTCAGGGTCTGGTTTTAGGGCGGGCTCTACTGATTATATAGTGAGAACGCATTAGTTCTTTGGAAATGCTTCTCAATATTCATTGGTGAATTTTATGATGAGCAACTCAGCCTCTTCCAGAATAAGGCCCCAGGGTCAATGGTTCTTTAATTATGTAGCAAAAATGCAATAATGCTTCTCCTTTGCTCCTCAATAGTATTAAAGAAACAAAGTAAGCGTGTAGTTTTTGATGAGCAGGGTGCCTCTTCCAGAAAAAATTAAATATGTAGCCCCAGGATCAAGGGTTCCTTAAGACTTTGGGGTGGGCTCTTC